GCTGGAGTGCAGTGGCACGATCTTGGCTCACTGCAACTTCCATTTCCTGGTTTCAAGTGATTCTTCTGCCTCAGTCTCCAGAGTAGCTGGGATTACAGGCACCTGCCACCATGCCTGGCTAATTTTTTTTTTTTTTAGTAGAGACAGGGTTTCACCATGTTTGCCAGGCTGGTCTTGAACTCCTGACCTCAAGTGATCTGCCCACTTTGGTCTCTCAAAGTGCTGGGATTACAGATGTGAGCCACTGCACCTAGCCTGTTCTGCTTTTTTTTTGAGACAGGGTCTTGCTCTATTGCCCAGGCTGGAATACAGTAGTGAGATCATAGTTCACTGTAACCTTGAACTCATGGGCTGAAATGATCCTCCTACATCAGTCTCCCAGGTAGCTGGAACTACAGGTGCATGCCATCATGCCCAGCTAATTTTTCTTTTTTTTTTTTTTGAGACAGACTTCCTTTCTGTCCTCCAGGCTGGAGTACAATGGCACGATCTTGGCTCACTGCAACTTCTGCCTCCCTGGTTCAAGCGATTCTCCTTCTTCAGCCTCCCAAGTAGCTGGGATTATAGGTGCCCGCCACCACACCATTCTAATTTTTGTATTTTTAGTAGAGATGGGATTTCACCATGTTGGCCAGGCTCGTCTTGAATTGATCTCAGTTGATCCACCTGCTTCGGCCTCCTAAAGTGTTGGGATTACAGGTGTGAGCCACTGCGCCCTGCCCCCACCCAGCTAATTGTTTAATTTTTAGTAGAATTATGGTCCCGCTGTGTTGCCCAGGCTGGTCTTGAACTTCCGGTTTCAAGCGATCATCCTGCCTTAGCTTCCCAAAGTCTTGGGATTATTGGTGCAAGCCACTGTGGCCAGCCTAGTCCTGCTTCTTTATAAGATATCTAAGAGTGCAGCAGACCCACAAAACATAGACACCTTTTGACTAAGTATAATGCAGCAGCTACTGGCTTTATTTTCCTACATTTTCACTTGTGCTCCATCCCAGTTGTTTCTGTAGAGGCCTTTATCACTCCCTTCTCACCTCTGAAGTTTCTTTGGGGTTAGGAGACATCTTTCCTGTCTTATATAGAGTCTTTGGGATGGTGCTTTGGGCTGAGATGTAGGTTTAGAGAAATCTTGGAGTATTTGGGTTTTTTCCCTCTATGACTTTGTTCTAAAGACCCTGGATAGAAGTGAGGAGAGCCCCTCTAAGAAGGGTCCTTCCCTCAAATGGCTTGCCCTTTCTTCTGTCTCAGGACCTCCTGTTCTGTTTTTCCCCCTTGAGTGAGGATATTACTCTAAAGAACATTTCTCTGGGGGAGAGACCCATTAAGACTATAGTCAGCCAGGTGCGTTAATGTTAGTAAATTTCTGTCCCTTTAGGGTGCACTTTCTGGCTGGTCTGACTGGGTTAGGGACTGGATTGGTTGTCTGCATCCTGCCAGTACTTTGAGCTTCCAGGTTCTCCCCAGCAGCTTGGGCTTGGACATGGAGGGGACAGGGCAGGTTTACTGGTGTTGTGGGGGACCTCTGCTGGCAGTTTTCCCTAGGCCAATCCTGAATGCACATACCGGACTTTGAGAAGTTTCTTTTCATTTTTTGTGGTGTGAAGCAGCTTAGCTGAGGGGAAGGAATCCAGGTTTGAGTTCAGGAGGCCTGAGTCGTTGGGATGTCAGGCCATTCAGTAGCCTCACTGACCATTAGGTTCTGAATCTGTAAAATGGGGATCCTTGGTAACCATGAGGATCATATGAAAAGACTTTGGAAATCACAAAACGTTCCACAGTGTCAGGGCCTCAGTCCTTTTTTTTTCTTGGCATTTTATCTCTTTCTTGCAGCGGTCCCAGTTCCCAGTGCTACACATGGAGGTGATTGTGCATCTGTTGCTCCAGATCTCTGATGCCCTGCGATACCTGCATTTCCGGGGGTTTATCCACCGCTCCCTCAGCTCCTATGCTATCCATATCATCTCCCCAGGTGAAGCGAGGCTGACCAACCTGGAGTACATGATGGAAAGGTAGGCACAACATGGAGCAGAACTTTCTCCTGAAGGTGATCTCCCTTGGGGACCTCTCCTGTAGACACAGAATCTGATCTGGTGGGACTCCTCATTGGTGAGCTGAACCTGTCCATCAGTGACTAAATCTGTTCCAAATGCCTTATCCCGTCTGCCAAGGCTAGAGGAATTTGGAGATATTTATTTATTTACTTATAATTTTTTTATGAGACGGAGTCTTGCTCTGTTGCCAGGCTGGAGTGCAGTAGCGTGATCTCGGCTCACTGCAACCTCAGCTTCCCAGGTTCAAGCTATTCTCCTGCCTCAGCCTCCCGAGTAGCTGGGATTTTGGCATGTGACACCATGCCAAGCTAATTTTGTATTTTTAGTAGAGGTGGGCTTTCACCATGTTGTCCAGGATGGTCTCAATCTCTTGACCTCATGATCCACCTGTCTCGGCCTCCCAAAGAGCTGGGATTATAGGCATGAGCCACTGCACCTGCCCTGGTGACACTTTAATAAACATTTAACAAGTAAGAGCTCACATTAGCCAATGTGTATAAATGCTGTAATTATTGACTCCAAAATTTTCAGCGGCTTTTAACACAATGAGGTGTATTTCTCACTCTTGTTGCAATCCAGCGTGTGTTGGAGGTGGGGACAGTGTTCTCTGTCACTCCAGTCTGTAGCTTCACCAAGTTCTAGGCTTTGATCCCCCACTGCATTCTTTGCACTGCCAGTCAGCAGGCAAA